GCGTTAGCAACACGATAACGCTACAAGCTCTAAAAGTTTTCCCTTTTCACTAATTATGAATGCATTTTTAGAAATCCCTAAACGTGATGGCGTTGCCACGAACTGTGACACAAATTTAGGCAAAACGTATTTTTTTATTCTTCGCTGAGCTCGCCCCCGTCCTGTTGAATCCCATGCTGTTTGAACTGAGCACAGTTCATCATTAGCCAATAGCATTAGATAGCCGCTTGTATACAGAAGCCAGTCAGAGCACGCACGAACGTTTGAGGACGCCACTATTGTGCCTGAGCGATTTCCTCCAACGATCATTCGAACTTGTTTTTTTTTTGTTTTTTTTGGACTTGCTCACATTTTACCTGATGAGCGTTAAAGTGTGCGTCTTCATTCTGGCGTTTGTGACGGTTACATGTAACGTTGACTTCAATGCACCCTTAGAAGTAGTGAAATAAACACGTTTCCACCACTGCTGCTGCCGTTACAAAGAGCTGCCATACTGAACCTCGAAGTGTTGCACCTGATTTTTCTACTTGGAAGTTGGAATTTCCGAGAACACATGGAATGCACCATTAACACGAGGGAAAACATCAAAGCTGGAAACACTAGTCACAGATTTGCACCGCTAATTCTTTCATTTGCTTTTATTTTTTTATTTATTTTACCCATTTGAGCTGGCTGTAGTACTTTATGAACCAAATTCTATAACTTTTATATTTCTTTGGGCAAACAAGCCAAAAAAATGTATTCACAACATTTGAAAAGTGATTAAAAGAAAATTAACATTTGAATGTTTTGTACTTTGAATACTGACTTGAGGGTAAATCTTTTGTTTCCTACCTCAGATGAATTCCTCATTTAAAATTCAAAAAGCAACTTTTTCCCAGTGTAACAAAGGAATCTCCCCACTGTGGGATCAATAAAGTCTATCCTATTGTTAACATATTGTATGGGTGGAAGCTGCAGCTGGGTGAGTGTGAACTGGTGGCGACTGGAAAACACCAGAACTTTGAGGTTAATTGCTCGCTGTAGCTTATTGAAAAAACTATGAATTAGTTCATTTTTGGAACAAATAAAAAAGAATTATTAACTATGAGCTGAACTTGTTTGCTTTAAAATGTATGAACTGAACTTTGAACTAGTTTGTTTTTAAAACAAACTTTCCCAACAGCGGAGGATGCACCTAGACAGGTACACTTAGCAACATTTCTCGCAAACAAGTCAGGCTTTAAATATTATGTATGAATAAAGAGCACAAGGTGAGTTTAATAATTGTGATTTCAGCTCTGTTGGCCAGCTAGAAGTAAAAATGGAAGTGGTGAGAACAGCATAAAGGGAGACTCGGCAGTTTTGGCTGGCTGTTAGCCCCCTCTATCCGTTTAGCAGAACCAAAACCAACCTCCTCGCTGTGTGGTTGTTGTTTTTTAACACCTTAATCGAACAGCTGAAATGTCTCCCAGCCTTCATTAGTGTCTACAGGAACAGTTCATCACTAAATTAAAAACATCACTTGTATTCATGATCGAAAACATGCGGGAAATGTGCTGGAAGCAGACTGCAGCACCAGGTGTGTCAGCTCACTTTCCAACAGACCAGACCGGCACTCTGAAGTTGCAAATGCAGTATGCTGGCCACAGGGGGCGGTGGGGGGTCTGAGTGACATTTCATTAACCCTGTAAAGGGTCATTTTAGCGCACACTGGCTCAAGAAACTGATTTATAAACATGAAACAGTTGCCAAGTATCCCTTTAAAGAGCAAGTCACCCCCTACAAGAAACTTACTTCACTCCCTCTTCATGTTCGAAAATGCAACAAATGCTGTTGCCTAGCAGACCGAGAGGGCGGAGCCACTAACAAATACACTCACACACACACAGGCTCACAACGGCATTGTGACATCATAATGTACCAGTTTACATCATAGCATACCTCTTAGCCAATAGCGGTGGCAGATTTAAATTCAAATACAGTTTTTACCTGACGACGGCGCAACACTGACAGTTTTAGGCAGAATATTTACATTTTAACTAAGATGCACTGAAGTACCAAACTATTGACCACACACGCGTCTGCAGCACGATTAGACACTCGTTTATATAGTTTATCAGTGGGTGACTTGCTCTTTAAGGTGCAATACATTTTTAACCCTACAGATAAAAATAAATCTCCAGATTTCAGCTCCAATGTGTGTGTTCTGTCTATAAGTTGTTGCAGATATCTGAATGGAAAAAAGGAACATGAAGAAAGGATGCAGGAGCAAAACAAAAGTGTCAGATGAGAAAGAACCGGTAGGAAGCCAACGATTTTAGGTAAAACATCATTTTCCTTCTGCGATGTGTCTGTTTTCTGTCTGTGGTCATAGCTCGGTTTCCACTTGCAGAGCCTTACCCTGTACTTGTCAAACACCATGTGGCAGACTGGGAGTAAGAAGAGTGTGTTTTTCTTTGAAAACCAATCAGACCCACTTCTCCTCCCATTTCATCTGCAGCCTTTATTGGACAGACCACCTGGTTGAGTCACTTCAAAGCCTTGGCAGATTCAGGATGCTGACATAAGCTATGATGCATAGTGCACAAAGCACGAGTGTGCGTGTGACACGACTCTAGTGATGAAGAACAGGCCTCTGGGAAAACACGGGGAAATAACGCTCTAACCACCCCGGTTTGTCTGGACAGAACAGACATGTGGAAAACACATAAAACATGCATCAGTGCACGTGACTCCAGGACTTCAGTGCATCTTGGTTTTGATCATTTTGGTGATTGTTCAAACGAAACAAGATAGTTAACTTATTTTGAGAATTTACAATAAAAAAATAAATACATGCCATGGAAAAAAGAATGCAAAATGCTGCATAAACAAATAAATCTGTCTAAAATGTCTCTACAAGTTTTTATGATGCTGATTAAAATTCAAGCCGGCATGTAGATGAGTTCCAGTTCAAACGCTGAGCCGACGAATCAGTAAACAAGTAAAGATTCACGACAGGAGTCAGAGCAGAAGCCAACGGTTTGAAGAAGAAAATTCAAATTCAGATATGAAATCTAAAAGTTGGTCGTTATTTCTCATATTTTATGGGTCATGAGTGAAGTTGTTCATGGTGCACCTGTTTGGTTTAAAGGCGACTTTTCCATCAGTTTTCTGATGCATTCAAGTTGATTTTGCATTAATGATCACTTACTCTTAAGAAACTGTCGAGGGATCCGTTCTCCATGTACTCCGTGACGATCATCACGGGCTTACCTGCAAAGAGGGAAATCCAGTCACCGGTGGCATTTCTCCAGACAGATAAATACATCAGAAGGAGGAGTTTCCTGCTCCAGGAGCTCAGGTTTATTCTCTGAAATGGAAAGGTCAGACCTGGACAAGATGGAGCGTTGACTTCATTTAAAGCAGAAATACGAGAGCTTCATGTTTTACCACATTTACAGACGGGAGCATACGAACGGGCCGGTCTTTGTCACGGTTTTAGGACTCCAGCAGGTCACACTGTGACATCTTTACTCCTGTGGAGGCCTGACTGTAAATCTGGCTGCCGGTTATCATCCGAACCTCAAAGACCAGAGCGAGGTTCACGGCAGGAAGAGAGAGAGGGACTCTTTAAATCACTCATAGCTGAACTGAGAGTCCGAGAGTTGTCGGTGTCCCAGACGGCTTTGTTCCCCCCGCTTCACACCGGCCGCGTGCTTCTCCTCCATTTTTAAACTGATTAATGTGCCCCCCCCCCCTTTTTATTCCTGACCTACCTTTTCTTTGTTACCCCATCCCTCTCCTCCTTCTCCATCCCTCTCCTCCTTCTCCATCCCTCTCCCCCTTCTCCATCCCTCTCCCCCTTCTCCATCCCTCTCCCCCTTCTCCATCCCTCTCCTCCTTCTCCATCCCTCTCCCCCTTCTCCATCCCTCTCCCCCTTCTCCATCCCTCTCCTCCTTCTCCATCCCTCTCCCCCTCCTCCATCCCTCTCCTTTACGATAATGAGAATACCTCTCCATAACTGTCTGAACAGACACAGCGTTTTTAGGTGAGCTGGTAGGAACAGACGTGTGTAATGGACTTAGAGATTAAATATGCAAACACGTGTGGTTACACTGCAAAAATTGATTTTTAAGAAAATAAAAAATCTTGTTTTAATAAATTGTATCTGTGTTTATCTGCAAAAAGAGGCTCTGCTTGAAATACGATCAATGTTCCAGATTTTCTGGTTTTGAGAAAGAAGAGATTGTTAGAAATGCCACCACAGGCAGTTCTACCCAGTCAACTTTAGCTCCACCTCATCGGCAGGTTTGGTTTTACTCAAAACAAGAAAAATGGAACATAATTAACAATATTTATCTTATTTCAAGCAGTGCTGTTTGTGCAGATAAGAATATTTTTCTTTTTAGACTAAAAATGAGATTAAATGTATTAAAACAAACCATTTATACTTTCTTGAAGATCAGTTTTTGCAGTGTACACAAAGAGAAACTTAGACTCTATGTAATTTAGGCCGATTGTTCTCTGTCAACATTATTTATTACTACTTAAGCTTTTTTATTACCACTCAGCCCGTTTGACTTAATAACGTGTATTTACTTTGAACAGTTGCAGAACTTTCACACACAATCACAGTAAAACGTCTCATCAGTCAAATCAAGATGGTGTTAAACAGCTTCCGCCCACACCCACTCCCTAAAAGGCTGTGATGGATCGCTCCTTTTACCAGGGAACACACACACACACACACTTCCCTTACCCTCTCCATTCTTAACTTTGGCAATAAAGACTAAGGCCCCTGAGTCCCTTTGTTCTGTCAGCCCGAGTGGGAGCCTATGCGAGCAAATGCAGACGTGTGTGTGTGTGTGTGTGTGTGTGCGTGTGTGCGTGTGCGTGTGTGTGTGTGTACGAGTAAGGAATAAAAAATACGTGTGTGTGTAAGTGTGTATGTGTTCCTTAAAGTATGCAGCCTGTGGATCAGCCAAAAGCAGCAGCAAGGTAAATGGGGTGTGAAAGTCTCAGGATTATTAAGAATTAACAGGAGCAGCTTAATATATCATCCCTCAGCAGTGTGTGTGTGTGTGTGGTGGTGGGGGGGGGGGGGGGGGGCATATCAAATGGACCCTCTAAAACTATGCTCTGCACTGGTGCTGCTCCACACGTGTTCAGGGCATCCCTCTAAATGTCGAGCACACATGCAGCCACAGAGCAAGGTGCTGGTGTGTGTGTGTGTGTGTGTGTGTGTGTGTGTGTGTTTGTGTGTGTCCATCAGTATTGGAGCGGCACGTGAAAATCCACTTCTGTCTTCTGGGAGAATTTCTGAGCCCTTGAGCAAAAACTTCTGAATGCTTCAAGACCGCAGCGCAGAAACTAAATAAAAGAGCGATCTTTCCAAAGAACGCAGAAGTTCCTTCCTGAAGACATCAATGAGCGGTGAAACCAAACAACAACACTAACCAAACTAATTAAGACACCAAAATAAGAGAAGAAATGAGAACAACCGTAAGTACCTGGCGAGGCAAGGGCCTCAGGGAAACGTGGAAGGCTGTCCCGTGCCTCAGCGACAAAGTTCAGACTCATTATTTCGCTCTTTCGGAGTCACTCTCCCCTTAAAGAGGCCTTCTGAGTGCTAACGGTAGCCTTAACGAGAGCCCCAGAGGGGTGCAGGGCACAGATATGGATTTATGGTTGCTTAGCATACAGACTTTGACCAGAGCACATTGATCTGCAGAGATTTATCAGTAAAGCTCCTCCCTCCCTCACAGCCTGTTGGAATGAGGATGAAAACGCTCTGACTGGGATTATGTTTCTGTCTAATTGATTTAATTTCATTTAAATTCAATTTGCAGATCACCCAACAGCATAAAACCTGGTAGGAAACCAGAGAAACTGAAGTACATTTACCTGTGAGTACAGCGTTATAAAAGTACTTACTGCGTGTTACGACCCCCTCCAGCCTGATGATGTTAGGGTGATCAAACTGCCCCATGATTGATGCCTCTGCAAGGAAGTCCCGCCTCTGCTTGTCCGTGTAACCCCCCTTAAGGGTCTTGATGGCGACGCAGATCTCCTTCTTGCTGGGCAGCTTCAGGCGACCGCTGCACACCTCTCCAAACTCACCTGAACATCACAAACAGGAGGTTGTTACTGGTTTACTGGTTTCACTGGTGAATGTTTAGTTCCCTGACTGATACGGACTCAGAGACTCTGTGTTCAGAAGGAACTGGAAGCTGCTTAGATGGTCTGACCACTTGAAAGGCAGCGTTGTGCTGGACTTAGTAAAACACACACAGCGAGCATGTCTGTGCGAGGTGATGTCAGAGCTGAGGCGTGCAGATCTGCATGGAGTTCCATCCCTCCCTAAAGCTGCTCCAGATCAAAGAGCAGAGGTCAAACCTGGACAGGAAGCACTCTGGAGGAGCTTAAATCCCTGCCGCCCATCTAAAGACGAGTGTTCGTTCTTCCTGCTCCGCTCCGGAGCGGCCAGCGCCAGAATAAAACTTCTGACTGGAATTAGGCTGGAGGAGAGGTGTTAATTCAGGTTCATCCCTTAGATGTTAAACCGGACTCATTCCACATGAAGGAAGATTAATAGTACACTATTGACTATTGGCAATAAGATTAAATGAGGATACAGGGACATGGTTGGGTGTTTGGAAAGTATACACGGGTTAATCATTACATCACTTAATCCCCTGGATTAAATTTTACATTGTGACCAAAGCTGGGGTTAAAGCAGCTTTTTAATTTAGTTCTAATTAATTCTAGTTTCTATTTATCCTTGTTGTTAGCTGGGTTTGGTGAAAAGTGTGCTTCCACGTGAAAAATGAGAAGTGAAAGGAAAAGTAATCATCAGCTCGTGTTTCGCAGTAACGAGTTTTCTTCTGACTCTTCTAACACAGAAAAGGCGTTTCACTCTCAGATTTACGGCGAAGCGCTGCCGGGTGCTTCAGACCCCATCTCTTCTGACTGAACTGGACAGGAATCATAATGCATTACCCTCCAGCCCACACTGCTGCTCAACTTATCAGGATTACATGACGAGAGGACAAGAAGAGGGGAGGAAACTCGTTTTATTTCAGAATAAGAGCTCAAAGTCACAACAAAGGAAGGAATTAGGATAACAAATGGCAGGAAAGCATACTGGGGAGCATGAATCAGTATACGGGACACAAGGCGTTAGCTGCTCTGCTTTTCTTGGCTGTACAGAGGGGCTCCTCTTACCTGCTCCCACAACTTTATCAATAGCAATGCAGGAGGCGTCCAGCTCCTTGGCGAACTCGTGAACGGCCTGGCTCGGGTCCTCGTAGGTGTGGGGGTCCACGTATGTCCTGATGCCCGGCAGACGCACTGCAGCAGAGGAGGAAGAGCACCTGAACGGTCAGTCAGACTGAACAAGTGACCCGTTAGAGCAGAGGGACGCACGTTTTTAGGAACCGCGTTTATTCTTTCAAACTTAAAAAAGAAGAAAATCAGACCATTCTGCAGGCTTGATGCTGGTTCCTGTTAGAAACTTTTGTAAAAGTGCAGTTTTG